GTATTTAGTCGCGAAATTTACCTGTCCTTGCCCACCGATCAGTTTCGAATTGTCACCAAATGACGAGTCAGGACCAATGAAAAGGCGGCTTTAAAGGAAAAACTTATAAAACTGGGCGTTTAAAAAACAGGAAGTTCTTGATTTATAGTGATCCTCTCTTGGATTTTGTGTCTCTGTCCTTCAACAACGAAGGTTTGTTCGACGTCCCAGGATTCGTTTTCCCTATCCCATACTGTCGAGATTCGCCTAGGTGCACCTAGTCATCGGAGGTAATTTCTGCAAGTTGTGCTGTACACCACAGGCCGTTGCGCTTGACATCACCTTCGCCGGAAGAATCAAAACGATCGTTGGAACATTCGGACTTATTAAACGAATTTGTTTCCCTCCTTTGGATAGGCATTACGCTCATTATAAGAATAGTTGTAAGAAAATTTATATATCTATTAAACGGTTTTAAATGATAAACCTGTCTCCGTGAGTGAGTGGCGTAGCGTGGGTGTCAGCCGCCCGGGACAAAGGAAAATTTCGCTGTCCCCTTATTAAGGTATCTCAATTTAAAAGACTAAAATTCAGTTTCGTCACAGAATAAGTAATGAAAAATTCCGTGCTAGTGTAGCCACCTTTTTAAAATCGCAGACCCAGAAGGCAGGTGAGGTTTGTTCGAACAGAATTTCCAGACAAGTGCGTATGTTACTTTGCAATGCGAAGAATAATGTGTAGTCCATGCCGGGTTCTAAATCAGTTACAGTTAGCGACTAGGGTGACTTGGATAGGAGTAACGAAAGTAACCTAGATGATGTGGCTCTATTGGATATTGGTGGTGTATATGAATACAAATGAATCGTACAAGAAAAAAAAAGGTCGACAGGTCGCGCACGATATCCACAGGTAAAATTAATAGTTCACCGCGACGCTATTCCGTGCTCATTTCAACTGGTCCGAATCGTAGATGCGACGAAATTATGAAATGAAATGGTTCAAATTTTTACAAGATATTATTATTTATTGTGAAATTTTTCGTTCCCTAAAAAGTGCCGCCTGGGGCCGGCCGCCCGTGTCGCCCCCACTATGCGACGCCACTGCCGTGAGTCTTTCCATACCCAAACGATTGTATTGACCGCTCGACTGATGTGACACTTTCCACCGAATCGGCTAACTTCATATCTACTTCGCTATCATGGACTGATTGCATTTTCAGATGATCTGATTTTTAGTCACTGTCAGGAAAAAAATGCCGTCGTTGGAGAAATTGTCATTTTTCTCTAAAGGTACTGAAGTTAAATTCTTATAAGAAACAGTATAATGATATGTCATTTTATTGAAATAAAATGACTTAAAAAATAAAAAAAAATTAGATTGTATAAACAAAAACGACAAGCATGGTACTTTATTCGCTGAATCCTGAATCATGTGGAGTTAAAAACATTCAGATACACTTAAGCACCTGCTCAAGCTATAATATCATACCTCGCAATGATTTGTTATCGTGACACAAACAGCAACATCTTAACTTCAGCTACTTAAAAATTCGGATGGCTTACGTGTATTTTGAAATTAATACAGCAATTTCAAAAACACTGCGGTTAACTATTGAATCATTGAATCATCAAAGAACAGTTTGCTTGCTAAACAAGCGATAAGTAGGAAACATCTTAGCTGTCAACTGTATGAAATCGAACCTGAACTAATTAGAGATGCAGTACAAAGAAAATAAGAAGCGACAAGAAGAGCAAAAAGCTTGTGCAGTACTGTTAGTGGAGAGAGAAGAACAGAGTAACCGTGAAATAACATTAACTACTGTGCAAATTAGGTAATAAATGGTTTTTTAAATTTCTATTATAGTGTCTGTAATTATAACAGCATGAATGTACTATGATAAACTATTTATAATTACATTTTAATCATGAAATTTTTCGGGTTAATAATCTGGGTTTTTTCCCATCCAGACCCAAGTTTATTCTTATGTCGCGAGTAGCAACCCTGGTCGTAAGCGTTGATATGATCCCGCTTAGCAGTGAGTCACGGTAAGATAGTTTTGTCACAAATACGACTTTGCCGTTTTACTTGTTAGAAATTGTATTTAAGTTAAGATGTTTGTAAAATTATTACATTTAATTCATACTTAATTATTATAGTAAATAATATTCGTAATTTCGGATTCATTTATAATTTTTTAATATCTAGAAATGTCTAGTTTCAAAATCTGAATTTTGTCATTTTATATTTTTATTATGTGAAAAATCAGAGAAAAAAATTTTGAATAGAAAACAAAAGGTTTATTAATTACTGTATATTGTCTCTATTTATATACACGCAGGAAAGGTATAAATTTGAGAAATTATAAATGTGTATCCATCGATGATTTTTAATCATTTAGAAGCAGATTATTATGTAGAATTAAAGCGAGAAATTCGAATTAAAAAAAATACTCGTACCTTACTTTATCGACTTCATATCGAATGTGGTTTCTAAAATGATTATGCAAAATAGTAGTTTGTAAAGTTGTAAATCAGTTCTGTGAGTTATTATCTGTTATTAATTTATTTTTTCGAGTAAATTGAAAATACTCAGAGCACAAGTAAGCACAATTGAAAGTATTCAAGGCAATTAATATCTGAGATAATGACTGAAAAATTTTGTAATGAGAAATAATTTTTATAACTATAATAACCGAATATCCGAAACACTATCGTGAATCGAGGCTAGTATTGTATTTTGATATTGATGATAGTCTATTTTTATATTGTTAACTATAGATGTATAGATGTATAGATAACTTTTTGAATCGAAAATATAAAATTTGTACGTCGGGAATGTTTTGTGTCATTGTTTACTTTTCTATCTAGTTTGGAAGCTTGAAACTTGTTTTCTAATTAAAATAACTGGGTAGAACCGCGGCAATCACTTGCTGCAAGAAATGTGGTTATGGATTATAAACAGTGTTGCCGCAATAAAATTTCAAAACGTACTGAAGCGCCTTCACAAATGTACTATTTTCCTTCAAAATGTACTAGTTCTATGAATACTTTGTTTACGTGCCTATATAGAATATAGTTAATTTCATC